TCATTTTTTGGTGTTAATTCTAGAAGGTGTTGTAGGCCTTCATAGAACCGGTCAACTTCAGCCTCTTCAGCACCAGTGGTTGGGGCATAGGCTTGGACTATTGTGATGTTGAATGGTTTTCCTTGGAGTCGAACTGAGATCATTCTGTCATTTTGGAAGCATTTTGCCAGTACTGCTTTTCCTACTCTTTTATTGACTATGAAGGCTACTCCGTTTCTTCTGAGGGATTCTTGCCCACAGTAGTATACCTGATGGTCCTCTGAATTAAATTCACCCATTCCTGTCCATTTTAGTTCACTGATTCCTAAGATGTCGATGTTCAGTCTTGTCATTTCTTGTTTGACCACGTCCAGCTTGCCTAGATTCATGGATCTTACATTCCAGATTCCTATGGAGTATAGATCTTTGCATCATCGGACTCTCCTTTCACCACCAGGTACATCTGCAACTGAGTGTCCTTTTGGCTTTGACCCAGTCTTTTCATTCTTTCTGGTGCTACTAGTACTAACCCTCTGCTCTTCCCTAGTAGCATATTGGACACCTTCCGACCTGAGGGGCTCATCTTCCGGCGTCATATCCTTTTGCTTTTTGGTACTGTCCATGCAGTTTTCATGGCAAAGATACTGGAGTGGGTTGCCATTTCCTTCTCCAGTGGATCATGTTTTGTCAGAGCTCTCTGCCATGACCTGTCCGTCTTGGGTGGCCCTGCACAGCATAGCTCATAGCTTCATTGAGTTACGCAAGCCCCTTCACCACGACAAGGCAGTGATCCATGAAGGAGTATGTTTGGGTAATGACTGTTAAATTGGGCAGCCTTTAAATCACTGAGATGGGTCATCCCTCCAGCTTGCAGGGTTTCCCCACCTGCCACAGCAGTTTCTTCCATGGGCCCTGGCCTGGCCCTACCCTACCCTGTCTGCCATGCAGTAAAAAGTTCCTTTTTCTGCTCAGCAGTTGATCAGAGATCAGTGTTTTTACTGCTTGAATAAAGCTCCTTTTCTCAGGGCTCAGCTGCTGATCAGAGATAAGTGCTTTCCCCTGCAGGGCATGAGGCCTGGGTTGGAAACTTGAATGATTCAGCCCTGCCCCTTTCTGGGCAGACATGCAGAGGCTGCCCTCCCTACTTCTGAGCAGACGTGCTTTCAGCTCACCCCCTTTGCTCATTGCACCAGCCAGCAATGTGTAGCTTTTCCACAATAGAATCCAGCTCTGACCCCAAAGCCTTCTCTGCTCCAGCCTTAGTTAAACCAAGGGTTTTCCAAGCAATCCATGCCTAGGAGTACATAAATCATTATTTCAAGAATTCACATCCCTAAATAATAGGGCTGAGGCTTCCATGGGGGAAATGTAAACTAATCACAGCACAGCTCAAAGGAGCAGCAGCAAGATGGATCTTTTCCTACTGATCAGAACTACTGATGCACAGCAGATAGAAACAAATACAACCTGCTCTGCTGAGTCTTTGAGAGTGTTGGGAAAATTTGGATAAATCCTGTCTGAAAAGCATTACTCCTGTGTGCCTTTGCATTGTGGGATCAAATCCTGTCTTCCTTCTCAAAACCAAGCTGTCAGTTTAAAATGACATTCCCCCGCTCCTTTCTCTCACCTTTAGCTGTGGGCTACAGTAGACAGGCCATTTTAGTCCAAATATACATTGTACATAGTCATTGTTGGAATTCAGTTGACAATAATCTTTTGATAGCCCAGAGGGCTCCATGTGCCCTGATCATGCAGAATGTTTAGAGTCAAGATAAGGGTCTGAGCTTATCATGAATAGTTTCTAGTAGCTTGAATTTGCATGTCTGAGCAGACCTGGAGATGGGTTCAAGTCACTCAACTAAAGTGTCAATACAGGCAATTAGAAATATTGTAATCTCATTGTTACTGTGTGATTGACTGACATTTCTTTATCTGTTCTGTATGTGATGACCTCAGAATCTTATTGTAATCTCTGCATTCTGTCATCAATTGCCTTGTACCTGTGTACCTATAAATGGCCTGTAATGGTATTGAAGCTTTGCAGCAGAGTTCATCTCTGCCTGCCCGGTAATGCAGCATGCATTATCGTGAGTACCGCGGGAACCTTGGGGGTAAAACAATAAAGCCTCAGATGGTCTGGACGCTTGGTCTTTCCCACGAACCCGAGTTTTATTCCCTCTTCTCAAATTGAGATTCCGGGATTCTGACAAGAGCAGCGGGTCAACTTCCCCTCTGCAGCGATCTCCAGGAGCATGGGACTGCAATTCCTTTGACCAGGCTGGCCAGAATCATGGAGTTGGGCTCCAGCACTTCTAGACTGGGGAAGGCTGCAGCAGGGGAATGATTTTGCACTACTGAGATGTTAGCAGTGTTACTACTTCTAATTTTGCCACATCAAGCTGGCTGCTAAGAGCACAACTCCAGAAGGTGGGTGAAGTACTCACAACCATAATTAGAATTGAATGTGAGATCCTTCAGTACCTTCCATCAAGCATTTGGAGTTGTTTATCATTTATTAGGTCTGAATCTTCAATCAGCTGTTAAAAATGTGCAAGAAGCTTTAGAAGGGTGCCTTGTTTTATTTCTGTCAAACCTACAGAAGTATCTCACATTAACTTCAAGGTCTTTGTATGCAGAATGCTACAAAGAGTGGTAAGCAACTCTATAACCTTTATGACTGCTGTTCTCATCTTTCTGTTACATATCAAGTTGTAAAACAAAAATAGCATCGCTGGCAAGGTAACAGATCACATGAATAAACTAAACACAATTTGCATTTGACTTTTGCATTTATGATTGCTGTTCTATGGAAAGCTGAATGCATTTAGCTTTCACTAATATTGCACCTGTCAGAAAACTAAGCCCTGCAATACTCCATGTATAGAACATATGTGGACAAACCTGGACTTCTCCATGTGTTTTGGACTAAAACTCCCATAATCCCTGCTGGCTGGGGCTCACAGTATGGTTCAAAACACCTGGAAGATTCCAAGTTGCCATTCTTTGATTTAGAAGCATGTATTAGGGTCAAGGCAGAGGCACTGGGGCCAGGGCAGCAGAACTCAAGGCAAGAGTCCAAAGGATGGAACAAGAGGAACGGCTATTCTTGACTTAATTCTAACCAACAGGGAAGACCTAGTGAACAAAATTGCAGCTATGGGAACTGCAGGGGAAAGCGACTATGCCATATGTGGATTCATGATTCTAGAGAAAGCAAAAGCCAAACGTGTACCCTGAATTTTAGGAAAGCCAATGTTAATGAACTCAGAACAATGCTAAGCAAAGTCCCATGGCAAAGGACTCTAATTAGGAGTCCAAGATCAGTGGGGACTTTTAAAAGGGGACATTCTACTGGCTCAGTTACAAACAATTCCAAGAAGGAAAAGGGTAGAAGATGTATAAGGGTAAAAGGGTGTAAGTTCAGTGGTGAAGTTCAGTAACAAAATCCAAATCATAGTCAGAACAAGCCACGGTCAGAAACCTAAAGTATGTGTCAGGGCAATACAAGGAAACAGTCTGAAACAAGTGATGGTTTTCACAGGAAGATCAACAGAGGTGCAAATACCTTGAGACGGGATAATCAGGTAGAGGTCAGGAGCACAAGCAAGGTGAAGACACAAAGTGTGGTGAGACAAGCCATGGCAATGCGGCAAGGCAAGGCACAATGATGCAGTATTGATTTTGATTTTGATTTTTTTTGGGTGGGGGGTGCTTTCTTACCACCTTTTCTTCCACATATGACTGGGCTCCAGGTGGGTTCTTTGCAGACATACTGACCTGTTTCAACATCTTCAGTTATAAGTAACCATTTGTTTTTCCAGAGGCTGTTGGAAATCGCATGGTGTTTGTGCTCCAGCAGGGTTAAAGACTCCTATGTCTTGAGCAAATTATAGAGTCCAAGGGTTTAAATACACAAATGCTACACTTTCCAGACTTAATCACCTTGATAACCCTAACCCTGAACAGAGCCAATCAGTTTTGAATTACCTGCAAACGTTAGGGAAGGAAACACACCTCTGTTGAACAAATAAAACCTACTGCTGTGAGCTGTCTTTTTAAAAACATGTCCAAGTTAAGCTGCCCTATGTCTAAGTATGTTGAATAACTTGGCATTCTAAGTAATCAGCATGTAAGCAAAATTGAATAGTAGATGGCTTTCTGCTCTCCTTTAGCCCTGTTAACACCCGAAAAGATAGGTGCACATAGGCAACAGAATGGAGCACAATCGTCTACCTAGAACTGGATTTGCAAAGCAGAGAAGCAGGGATGAAAATGCAGTGTGCAGAAGCTCAGAGAAAATGCAGAGATGCAGCCATATAAGTTTTTAAAAAAGCCTTCTCTCTAGCTTGGCCAATGGAAACAATGCACTGGCCAGCAGAGACCATCCTCCAGGGATGCCTTTGCAACATCCAGACAGCCCGAGCTGTTTACTGATACTATCTTTGCATTAACCACAGAAATGCACATCTCCTGAAGAGCAAAAACAAACAATTCCAACCCAGCCAGGTCCACTACTCTAGGATCAATTTCCAAAGATAATTTGTTCACAGGAGGAACTCCAGAAACAAAGACACATTACTCCCAATCTAACAAACGAGACAATGTTATCACACCAATGTCCCAACCACTCCAGCAAGAACTGGATGACATTTCAGATTCCATGTTAAATGTCCATTGCTCTCTGGCTGTCAGACAGCAGTTGCCCTGTGTTAAAAGATGGCAGCATAAATCAGACATAGGGCTTCATTGTTGCTCCAGCCTGCAAACAGTTCCCCATAATGTATTTGTGGTGTTTTCTTTCACTGTGGCTGATCACTTGGACAATAGCAGCATCCAGATATTTCTGCTTTCAGTCTCCCCATGAGAAATCAGTGCTATTTGTATGTTCAAGTGGAGGTCTAGGAGGGAGATCCTGCACACATACAGATGTGCTAGCATGGGCCCTTATGCCTGTAGTCAGAAGGACTTCCAAGATAAGCAAAAAAAAAAAAACAAAAACCAAGAACCACCCATCCATCCAATTTATCAGAAATTAAAGCATTTTTATTTTGATTTTCATATTGAATTTTGGACATAGATGACACCGGAAGAGAACATTTATCAACACAGGATTTTGTTTTCACAACTTAAAACAGTAATGTCCAGGGCCTAAAACAGTAATGCTCAGTGATTAGAAGGCTGAAAGCTGAACTAAACCTTTGGTGGCCAAGATTATAGTAGCTTCACTGCTATAAAGACGACCAAACTACATTTGTTACATTCAAGATGGAATCTCATGGCAAGTTTGATATATAAATATGAATTCTGCACACTTTCTGCTTTGGACTGTCATGAGAAGGATCCTTGGACATAGAATACAAATAAGTTATGTTTGGAAAAAAGTATTGATTTAGATGACAAATTAACTTGAGTAAATGAAACACCAAATAGTTTTTCAGTGTCTCCTATAAAGCCCAAAGGGGTTTAAAACCAAAACATGCATATGGTGAGACATAATGTAACAGTGTAGCTTAGTGATGTGCAAAGTAGCAAGAAAGTTGACATCCATGTACACAAAGCTAGACAAATTAAACAATATACGCCAGTGCTTGAACATATATTTTAAATCATTAAAACTTCTGATTTAAGATTAGAATTAATAGCCAGTAAATTTGATTTGGTCATCCCTGAACTAAAGAGAGGAATAATTTCAGCATTCAGTGTTCTGTTATCCACATCAGCCAAACTAGTTAACAGAAATCCAGAGTCTGGCAGAATTAAGAATGGAAAGCAGTGGAAAATTTATAGCATTCTATGATGTGGCTAGAGACCTGGATTGCTTACAAGTTAACATGTAGACCAAGGTTCAAAATGCAAAGTGGTGACCCAAAGAAATAATCTACATAGTGGAGTGCTTGGCAGAGCCAAATTATTCTTTTACCAGTTTCTGTTTTTTCTGTTTTTGCCGTGTATTAATGAAACTGATACACTTCTTTGCCCCTTCCACATCTCTTATTCACTTGGCCATGGTGAACTGGGGTAAGCATACAGAAAGCGAGAGCTGAATATTTTGTAAGTTTAGTGTTTGGAAAGAAGTCCGAGGTGGATTCATTCCAAGTGCTCATCCACTGGACAGGCAGGGCATTTGCCTTGCCATGGGTTCTAAACAACAGAATCAGATGCTAGCTTCTCACAAAGGACAGAACAGGGTTACAAACAGCCCTGCCGATGGCCCCTGTATCGCAACATTATGGACGGGCACCTTGTCAAGGATGTAGGTAGTTCTCCCATTAAGGAGTGTTCATGTATCTGCAGTACGAAGGCAGAAGATCTGAAATCTGCAACAGGGTTAAGAGACCTAATACTGCCTCTGTACCTCTTCAGGGATGTAACACCGGTGGAGCATGACATGGGAGGGAAAGCTTCATGAAACATTGCAACCATGGAAGAAAGGCTGGTGCAGCTTGGAGAGGACCCCACACAGCCACTGTCTCATGCACTCTTGCCCTGTTTCCACCAGGTCATTATGCAGGACTTGTTCTTCCAGCCCACTTTTGTACTGGCAAAATAAAATCTGCCTTTGCAAAGAAGGCAACTGCTCATTGAACACCAGCCATCCTGAGAATTGCCAGATATTTTGGTGTACTCATTACATTCTGGAAGTTATAACTGTGGAGTCTTGCTTACAGCAAATGTATCCCACAGATGAGTTTAGGGTTATTTGTTTAGACCGGAACATAATTTCAAAGATTGTTCTAATTGATGAAAGGGCAGGAAAAAAGGAAGCAGAGGGGTTCTTCTAGAAAAGGAAAAGCCACTGAAGCAACTGCCATCAGTTAACTTCTTGAACTTATGTTGCCTTGTTTTGCTGTTCCCGAGTAGTCACAAAGTTAAGCAAGTCAATTGCTGTGACAACACCAAACACCATTTGCCTTTTACTGGAGTTGCCATCACTGTGATCTGGAGGAGAGAAGAGAAGGACGGAAGACATGACTTACGAAGCGAAAATCAGGGTGCTCAGTTTTCACACTAAACACATTTACATTGCTATCTACAAATCTACCCACCCAAGCACGTGCCTCATTTTCTGTTAGGTCTGCCAAAATGAGAGCCTAGCAGCCAGATCCTCGCTGCTGGTGCAAAGGTTTCTCGGCTGCTACAAGGTGAGATTTTTGTTCTAGTTCTGCCCATAGAAATTGGCCCAGTGGATGCTACAGACATTGCTGTGCTGGTACCCAATGAAATCACATGTGGAGCTACTGCTCCAACCAATAAGCATTCTTGGAGGGGGAGTAGAGCAGTATTCCCCAGACTAGTACCCTCCAATTGGAGTTTTGGACTCCAATTCCCAACAGTCCCAGCCAGCGTGTCTGGTGGGGATCAGGAATTCTGTGAGTTGTAATTCACTCTTAGAGGGCATCAGGCTGGGGAAGGCTAGACTATAGAATCACTGCCACCTCCTAAGAGCCATTTAAGTGACTCTGACACCTGAACTCAGCTCAATATACTGGACAAGCAGCAGCTGCAGGGGCTTCTGTGGGAAGTTCAAAGGTCAGCTGGGCCATATAATAAAGCGGCACTAAGCAACCTGGTGCCCTCCAGTTTTTGGACTTCTGCTTCCAACATTCCTGAGTATGGCCCATGCTGGCTGGTGCTGATGGGGATGAAGTCCAAAACATTTGGAGAGCACCAGATTAGGGAGGGCTGTAATAAAGCATCACTTGCCTTGTAGGAACACTGGCACTTTAGGGACTGAGGCACCAGCATTAGCTTGCTCCACAGCAGCTAAACATTGGATTGAAACATAAAAGCCCCTTAAAGATTAGGAATGAAGGACACAACAAATTGAGAAAGGGTGAGAAAATGGCTTCAGATACGAGGACTTTCCATTTAAGCAAACACATTCCAGTTTTGTATTATCATGGGTTTCTTTTACCATCTACTTTTCAATTCTAAATATTTTACATTTGAATCTCATTTGTTAAAGATCTGCAGTGGCCTTCAGTTTGGGAAGTTTTAAAAACCAAGGCTTAGGTCTCAAAGTTTTCTTTCCCTAGTGGAACGAGTCCAGCTGATGGAGGAAAGGAATTCCAACCCCAAGTAAAGCTGTACATGAAAAATGACTGTGGTAAACCATAAAGCAGGACATGAATCATTTGTGCCAATATAGGATAAAACACATCATATTTGAAAGACATTGCTCAAATGTGATATGCAGTAATAAACATTCAATGCAAGTACACAGGGTGAACTCCGTGGTTAGCTATACACTAACGATCAGCCTTGAAGAAAATCAAAATGACTTAGTAACTACAAAGGACAGTTTGAAAGAGCTCCAAGACACCATTCACTACTACCAAAATATTTATGGTAATAGCTCTATGCAAATGTTGAACCTACTGTGTATTCAGGAACCAGATGAGGGAGGGTTCCCAACTGGATGGCATTTTGTAATCCTGTCCGTTTGAAAGCACTTACGCTGCAGGCCTTCCCCTGCCCATGTGGGAAGATTGGGAGTAGAAGAGGTAGGACAGGAGCATCATCCCAATACATTATTTTAAATTCAAAGCCTCCCTGAGACCAAGGTTGTTTACACACGAATCCAGCCCTAACCTATAACCTTCAAAATAAAGAGATTTTACTGTGGGGCAGTTCCAGGAGTCTGCTCAGTCCCCTTTTGAGTTCAGGAGCTCCATAGTGAAGGCCTTTGTCTCCACTTCTGCAACTCCAGGTTCTGGGAGCAATGCAGGAGAGAGTCCTTTTCTGTGTGCTGAGAAGCAGACCAGACAAACTGGCTCCTGAACTGATCTTAACTAAGCAGGTTCATGCTGAGGTAGGTGGCCCCAGTTATTTAGCGGAACAAGTCCAAAAGCACGCTAGCTGCGGAGAGGAAGGGAATCAGTCACAGTACCACTTGATGTCCTTCCACTTACATTGAATCTGTTCATGGACCACCAGAGCAAAGTGATCTATTTCCAAAATTTGAGAGAGCTTCCCCAGGTTGTCGTGCAGATGAATCTGCAAGTGGAAAGTTACCAGACTTAAAAAAACATAGTTTACTGACTTTTACAATGTTCGTATGCTTAAACACCTTGATCTTTACTCTCAACTTCCCCCAGAATTTTTCAAAGCAGCCTGTTAAAAGTAGTATTTGTGTCCTGATGAAGGGCTACTTATGAATCCATATTTTGTCGATTTCTAGGGCTTTTCATGTACAATACAGGTCTTCTAAAGAAAATAAAAATACTTGAGGCCATGGTTATTTTAACAACACTGATTAGATTCAAGAGCTCTATCTGCTTGATATGCAGGAAATTACAAATTCATACGCACACTCAATTGGCATTAACTTGTTTGCCAACTCTGCCAATGTGAGCTGCAAGGATGAGCTTGGAGATAAGAAAGAATGAATAACATTATAATACCAGTAACTGAAAGCAAAGCAAAATTCCTTACTCTAGAACTGAATTTTCTCCACAGGGATGTTGCATTTTCATTCCTACTAAGACAGGGCAGTAAAACATCCACTACCCTTGCCATTTGTTAATCTTGCTGTGCTCTTCCTACTGAATTTAGACGCGAACCTGCAGCACTGGCTGAACGCATTTTCCCAACTCAGATAGATGCCAAGGTGCATCCTGCAACCTTACATATCGCATAACATATTTAACGACATTAATGATAATGAATAATAAAATTGCATTGATTCTCATGCTGTATTCAATTTCAGTTCTAAGTAATAACAAGTAATAATTAGTAAGATTTCAATTCTAAGTAATAAGGTACAGTACTAAAGCCACACTTTATAGAACTCACTACAACAAGGTGCAGCACTAGCTGTTGGGCAAGATGACAATGACTTTTAAACTAGGATCAGACCAGCATGTGGAAGTGAGCTCACTGTGTCATGAATGGCTAGTAGCCACGATGCAAACTTTTCGAATGGGGCGAGGGACTTCTAAATTGCTAGGTGCACTGAGCACTACTGTTTAATTTTTTATTAATTATTTAGCAAAAGGAAATTGCAGCACAACTAAAAAGAAAACATACAATTAAAATCATAGCATAATATAACAAAACCGGAGTACTACATTTTGAGGTTCCGGTTGCTGGAGAAGGAAGGTCTTATATTCTCATATCCTGCTTGTGGCCTTCCCAATGACTTGTGGTTGGCCACTGTGGGAAACAAACTGCCCAGAGAGCAGTATATTAGGCAGTATGAAAATAAATATATAAAATAAATAATAAATACATATTTAAAGAAACAATACTGTCTCCCTTTGTACAACTGATTCTTCTAATCATCAGCCAGAGACTTCTGGCTATTGGGTGGTAAAGAGATTAATAATTAACTATGCAGAGTGATAGCAAAGGACTTAAGACAGTGGGGCCTCTTAAGAGTATTGTCCCATCCCCCATGAGCATTTGATTTAATTAATTTCTATACTGCCCTACTGTCTGCATACCTTCAGGTCTACCCTTCAGTCTAAAAACATATTATGAAGCACCATAAATGTAATGTGATGTAAAATGAAAGTTCATAACCTATCTTTGACCTGAGGAGTGAGCCAAGATTCTGTGCAGCTTTTCAAGCGAAATGACAGGTGTTCATTCCAGCAAACCGAACACCAGTTCAGCCGGGTATGGTGCTGACCAGCTAGCTCCTGCGATGTTATAAAGAATCTCTCTAATTGCAGGCAAAGGTAGATAAATATGCTACACCTTGGCTGCAGAACTTTAAAAAATAAAGAACCTGCTTGCTTGATGCAGAAGCTCCTTAAAGACAGGGATGGGAACCCTCAGCCTGAGAGCAGAGTGTGATTTACAACAGGCTCTCCAGAGCTGTGTTCCGCTGGTGAGCAGGGCTGAGGGGAAAAGGAGTGGAGACAAAATCCAAAAAACACTCACATACAGTAGGTTAAAACTCTTACTGCCACTGACTAAACCTTAGGAGAGGCATTTCAAATGTTTAGAATGGGAGGAAAGATGCATAAAAGCTGAGCTTTTATGAAAGCACAGAAAGCTGAGAAGCAACTGAATGACTGGCAGCTGGAGAAAAAAGGAGGAGGCCTGGCCCATTTGGGCTGAATTTGGCCCCTGGGCCTGAGACTGCCCATCTGTCACATGCAGGCCTTCCCATTTTAAGTAGGGTTTCATGGTGGGAGCGATTCACCAAAGCAAACAAGGGCCGAGATTGTGCATGTGTGCCCAGAAGTAGGCCGCACTGGTTTGTGCAGGCCTTCCTTATATCTGTGCTGTGCTGCTCTCATTGCAAATGATCTGAAAATCATAAAATAAACCTTGTTTAGTTAAATATTCTCATAGGTGACCTAGATGAACTTTTGGGGGATTAATGTGCAACTTATCCCAGGATGACTGAGGCAAATGTGTATATTATCCTTAGATTGGCGCCAAGCATTTTGGACAAACATGGCATTGCAAAACCATAAAGAGAGTCTTAAAGCTCTGGCTCCAAGAATACCTGGGGGAAGGGAAAAGAAACAAGAGACACATGAAGACATAGCTACCTTCTTGAACTGCTTGTAAATTATTTTGTTGACTTGATCCGATGGCTGTACTTTGCCAGCAAGCACTGAAGAAAGCATGTTACCAAGGGTAACCATACCCAATATCACTCTGAAAAGAAGAATATCCAAGCAACCCAAGTTAGAGAAGATTTTCTGTCAAAAGTGTTGTATGTTCTTTCTTCCCTCTCAGCTCAGTGTTTTAGACCAGCATTTTTCAAAAGCCCTCCTATTTTGAATTTGCAGTTTTAAAACAAATATCCTTGGGAGCAAACTACATGCCCCTGCACCTTTTTATTTTTATTTAAGATATTTAGAGTGGAGAAGTGGCAGAGGTGAAAGCCATTTCCTACTACAGAGAGCAGCCCTTCCCAAAATACACATTCAAAGCCAAAACCGCTGGGGAAGGTTGGCACATTCTTATTGTTCTTGTTAACTAATGAAACTGCTGAGTTACTTTTCCATCTCCAGAAGTCGAAGTGACTTGCTTTACGGTGCTGTCTTACAAAGCTTCATGCTTTTGAGCCCAAGCATTAAGTGACATCTGTGCAGCTCCTAGCACACTGGGGTGGGTGGCCTAGCTGCATTTTGGTAACACAGAAGACCCACTGCAATTGCTTGACATACTAGTACTGTTCCATACACTGACGCCCTTTCTACGGTGCTCTCCATTTTGCTTGTGTGGGACAGGGCAAACTTTTCTTTCAGTGCATTGCTGTTACAGCAGTGGAACCACATGACACCTGACACACTTTGCGGAGTCAACATCCTCCCTGAATTGCCACTTGTCCCCAGATGATCAGCCTTCCCCACTGGCCTCTTCCCTGCTTGGTGACTCAGATACAGGGGCAGTTAATCCTTCTATAGGTAATTTCCCAGAGATGACTGCGGCCCTCAAAGGTAATAAACTATATCATAATTTTAAGGGCAGATTTTGAAGGCATTTGCTGATGTCCTACAACAGGAAAGAAAATTCAGGCATTGCAAGATTTGGGCATTGCAGGCATCACTAATCAAGGGTCTGATGATACATTGAAGCTATTTCAGGAGGTTTTCTGTACTAGGATGATGAAGTGCAGGGGACATTCAAAGGGTGAGATCCTAGCAAACCACACAGCATGCACCAGGGGGTCGAAATGGTGGATTCTGTCAGAAAAAGAAGAAATGATGAGGAACACTGTGTGCTGCAAATACAAGCAGTGGTCCTTCAGAGACTGAGTTTGAGGAGAGGAAGGGAAAATATTAAGGTCTGCACATACCCAGATTCATCAACCACCGGTACCTGGTCAAACCCCTTCTCTCTGAGTATGGCAATGGTCTTTTCACAGGTGACACTTGGCAGTACTGTCAGGGGTGCAGAAAGCGATAATTCCTGAACTTTCAAGTTCCACCACCTAGGGAAAAAACAATAACAACTCTGTCCACAGATCATTTTATATTCAGCGACTGTGGGAAAAACTGTGCCTTGTACACTTTACAAAGGCCTGTTTTTCCAAGACGACTTTGTGATGGCAATTACTGCATTCAAGAGTAAATGCAGCAGTTCCCCCTTGGTCCCGTTAGTCCCAGGAGAGGTAATGTTGGGTATTCTGGCATGAGGCTTGTTTTTAGATTCGAGGCACATCTGGAACATCCACCACTTGCTCAGCAGAGGCCACATGCATCGCCGTCACACCACTGGTGACAGTGCAAATGTGGAGCTGTCCATCTTCCTGTTTTTGCCAGAAAAATATTGCAGAGCAGGAAGAAAGTTGTTAGTCTTTTTTAGGAAAGCTTCCCACATCGCCTATGTGTCTTTTATTACCTAACAAAGTTACAGGCAGCTGCCATTACAAATCTCTCAGAGAAGCTCTTTCCCTTTCCCAAATGCTGGTATGACTTAGTGATAGGCTCTGAATGCAAAGCCTTTCTTATGGGCTCAAGTCATCTTCCCACAAGTTTCTACTTCAATCAGGGGTTTTGCAGGGGAAAAAAACTACGTGCAAAGGTTAAAATGCTGACATGTCTGCACACACACCTAGGGCAAATCATTCCAATTTGTCTAGAGCTCACCCTTCTCTACATAACTTGGATTAGTTGTAAATAGTGGGGCCAAAAAACAGCTAAAAAGGTACAGCCTATGACAATTCTGCGTAAATCACACAGTTCTGTGCTTTTCGTTTTTAAAGTACCAAAAGTCTTTGTTCCTTTGGTTTTGACAGATTAAGACAGCTATTCCCTAGAACTAAAAAATAAGACTTGAATGATTCCAGCTGTACCCCTGGTCTTGACCCAACTGTGTGTAATGACAGTTCAAAGAAAATATCTCTCTCCAGAAACCAGGAAGGGTCAGTCTGGACCAACAGGTTCTAACACAGGTGTACCTGGGGGACCGGAATCAAACTCTGCTGGTTCGCTGACTTTCTCAAAATAACACATAAGTCTCATAAACTGTTGTTCCCTCTCCATGCATAAAGCACTACCACAATGTAGAGGGAAAACATATTGTGCAAGAAAAGGAAACAAGGTATGTACCCATCCCTCCCCCACCGATGGCTTGCATATTGATTTCACACACACACAGGTGCATGGTACCCATGCTGCTCCAATAACCCCTTAAGTAAAACTAAAGCTAGTATTTGTTTGTTTGTTTGTTTAATTTAAAACATTTATATGCCATCCTTTATGACAATTGTCTCAGGATGGCTTACAATGAATAAAAGCAATCAATAAAACAATACAATAAAATAATATATAACCAATAAAATAAACCAAGGCAACTGTAAACTATTAAAATTACTAAGTTTTAAAATGATGTTTAAATAAAAAGGTTTTAACCTGGCGCCAGAAAGAATACAGGCTTGGTGCCAGGCAAGCAGCCAAACAAAACACTAAGGCAGCCTTCCTGAACCTGAGCCTTCCCCAGCCTCTTTCACTGCTGGCTGTATGCGACTGGTACTTCAAAGCACCTGGAAAGTACCAGACTGGGGAAAGCTGCATTAAGGAGACATATATGCATACTTACGATTGATACAGAAGGAGATGCTTAGGAAGGGAAACTCATCTTAAGAGCAGAAACTCTTTCCAAGCATGACCTCATAGACATGTTAAAAAGTTAACTAGACTAGACTATAGGCACCAAAAAATAAAAATAAAAATGGACAGGTGACTTCTTCACAAGCTCATCTGACTATGCCTTGACAGACACTTTCACCTCTCACCAAGGCTTGTGAATGATGTCATCCTCCTCTGTCATGAAGCCTTTTTGATTCATCCATTTGTCACTCAAAAATTTGGACCTGGAAATCGTGAAAATATATCACAAAAATCAATTAGTCACACTTATCTTAAAGGTAAATAAGTTATACAGTATAATGTGGCATGAATCTGTTATAGCTTAGAAGTGGGATAAAAAGCCATTATTTTAAGTGTTAGACAAGTTCACACAAGAAAGCAATGAATTGGGGTCCCCGCCAGGCCTCACCCCTTCATCCATCTGTGGTATAGTCTGCAGCTCTGTGGGGGATCAGCTACTTCCCAGCAACACTGTATTGTCCTAGTTGGACATTCCACCTGTGAAAGTGGGGGTGGGAAGGAAGTGTGGGGCTTCAGAGAATGCTGGGAAAAGAGGCACTAGGCCAGGGTAGTTGAACCTCCTTCTCCCCAAGGCCTGAATTCCATTCTGGAGAAGCTCTTGAGGAGCCACAGGGCCAAAGGCCAAGGGATTGGGCCCCAAATGCCAGCTTATTTTAGCTTCCAGCTCTTCCTGGCAGTGACTAAGGCTCGGGGGAGAAGCACTTCAGCCTTTTTGCAACAGGGAAAAAGAGTGTGCAAATGCTGGGAAAAACACCAAAATGATCGGGGCTGCAGGGGGTTATGGCCAGGGAAAGGGAAACCCCAGAGAGCCGGAAGAGGAGGTGAAATCTTGGCCCAACTGTGCAACTGAAAAGTGGCAGCCACTCAGAGCAAGTAAGGGCGCTTCAGCTATTTGGCTGGTATAAAAAATAAATAAGAGGTGGGAAGGCAGCATCCGTGAGTGAGGAAGCTAAGGCTTCATGGGCATAGCAAACCTAACCTGCCCTCCTCCGAATTTAAAAATATAGAACAATCTAGATCGTGCCCTTTTGATGCTTGTATAGCATCCAGGGTAGAAAACCATGATTAGAACCAATGCTATAATGCCATAACATTCCAAAAGAGAAAAAAAGAAATGTGAGCCAAGATACAGCATGTAAGATACGCACTGGAAAAGCTCATTCATCTGATTAATAAGGATTTTGCCATACCGTAAAACACTGCAACAGAGGGTGCTAACCAAGCTTTCTGGGACAAAGAGTTCCACAGTTTAACTGAGGCCACATGGAAGTCCCTTTGTGTGATCTCCATCCATTGCCCTCTCCTGCACAGGGCGGCTGGGGCACAGGGATGTGTGTGTGGACAGACCAGTCCTGGAAGAGGCAATCCCTAAGGTATCCTCCAACTCATCAAGAATTATTTCCAGGAATAAATTAAGCAAACTTTTAAGAATCCTTCAGATAATAGGCACCTATCAATTTTTATTAAAAATACTATTGATGCTGTTTTAAATGTTGCGTTATACACAGCAGGCAAGAATACACCAAAATATAACAAAATTATCCCCGTGTTCTGGTGAGAATAGGTGCTAAAAGTTTGACCGGGTTTCTTTGCACAAGTTAGGGGGAGATCCTGTGGTCCCTGAGAGAGCACCCCAGGGTTCCTCCTGAAGTCATCAGCACTTCAACTTTGGGTGGTGGACTCCAGAATCTGATCCCATTCCCTTACCACCTTGTAGCTGCCACAGAAAGGACAGCTTTGTCTGCTTTCTCAGGCTTCACAAGGGGAAGATCTGGTAGAACCCAACAGAGGTAGAAAAGGGCATTCCTGTGGGCAGTGGGCTGCTGTGGGCTGCCCAGATGCCTGTCGGGGCGGCGGGGGGGGGGGGGATTAAAAGGACAGTGATAGGCAAACATTCCCTCTGTTGCTTCTCCCCTTCTGGCAGGACCCAGGATACCGAGAGGCCCAGCACCAAGTGTGTGGCATCAACTGTGCAACTGGGACCTCCAAGCACCAGTGTCTGGTTGAAAGAGAGAGGATGTTACTTACATGTAGTTCCGGACAGAATCAGGAAGGAGGACAACACAGCGCTGGCCTTCCTTCAGCTGTTTTGCAGCCTTCACAGCAACAGACATGGCACTCCCCGAACTGCCACCTGCCAAAACCACACAGAGCCCATTTTGGAAATGGAGATGTGGCCTAATGCGAGTTGCTATCCCTGTCACTGGACCTTAGAAGGGCTTGCTCATGCTTTGCAATGTCTCTTTGAAAATTAAAGGTGGCAAATATTGTTTAATGGTGTAATGGCATCATGTGAAATTATATTAAAAAGGCAGATAATGAGCTCCTTGGAGGCAAATTTCTCCAGCTTTGTTTTTTGCCTTTCCTGTTCAAGATCCCCCCCTTTCCTACTGCCCTATATAACTAAAATTGAGATGTGTATCATTAGGAACCACAGGCGAGAGCAGAGCCAAAGTGAACAGGGAAAATAGACAGTGCAAGTATTTCTTCAGCTTTCCTGGTGAGAGGGGCTTGGCATTCTGCAAAGACCTGTGTACGGCAGCAGGAACCCACCCCCTGCTGAGAGCACGGGGCAGTGCAGTGCCTGAACTGGGTTCCACTGCTGCAGCTGCCTGTTCCGGCTGTTGAAACCAGGAAGCCACTACAGGCACAGGGATGGTGGGGGTTCATGGAACAGCAACATTATCATCCAATGTCTGGACCTGCCCCTTAGGGCAGTTCAGATACTATTTGTGACCACTTCCTTCTCTCATTCACGTATTCCTCTGCTATAAATCTGTGATTTACAGATTTCAGCCACGGGAACTACTTCAATTTGCTTTTGGCCCATTGGCCAGATTACCTTCCTGCTGGATCATGCTGAGAAGTCAGATAAGGCCAAGTAGGTCTAGTCCTTCCCATCCCATGATTATTATTATTATTTTTCCTTATACAGAGGAAAGAACTTGACTGGAGATCACTTCAAATGAGTTGGGTTTGTTCTTCTAACACCACTAATGTCCCAAATTCCTCTCTTGGGAGGAAAGGCAAGTCACACAAAAAGAAACCCCTTTCAATTATCTTTGATCTAATATAACATGGGGATGCCTCTTCCTCAGCTGCCAGGGCTTGAAGGAGGCCCAACCCTCCACAGGCCACACTGGACTCCTCCACAGACCAGTTCTGTCACATGGGACAAAGGTTGCTTCCTCCTGCTGTAATAAGTATATAGACCGTTGCCAAAGCTGACATGGGTTCATGAGCTCCAGGCTCACTTTTTGCACGATACTGGGATGACCACGGGAACAACAACAACACCCACTATTTTCATTCTTTCTCTCATCAGTGCCATCACCGAGACTATCCAGTTCTCCGTATTATAAGCCACACTTCGAAAGCACTCTTCTGACTGTACTTACCACACAACAGTCCTTCTTCTCTGATTAACATCCGTGCAAAGGCAAAAGATTCCTCATCATTACACTTATACCATTTGTCCACAAGCTAGAAGAAAGTGGGGAGCAAGGGAGAGAAAAACGGTACGATACTTTAAACTTTTTCTTGACTTAGATCTATATTGATCCTAAGTGGAAAGAAATAGATTCTAGTAGCATTACATCCAACATCACATATTTGGGGAAAGACACTTCAGAGTGACTTAAAGAACACCATCTTCAATGCTTATGAACACACAACAGATTTAGGCTGTTGTCTGGAGTGGGAAACCAAATTTGCCAAAGGTCCCCACCTGAAAATCATGACACGCCAACAAGAAACATTAGTGGTGAAGGAAACGCTGTAAGCTTTAGAGTGAAAGGCATGGCATGTGGGTGCTAAGACTGAAGGAGCCTGAATTACCGATCTGTCCAGAACTGTAGGAATGAAATCGTATCCGATCCCTTCTACTTCGTAAGTGGTCTTGTCTGATGCATTTAGTTCTTCAGGCTCTGCAAGGATAGATCCTTCGGGGTCAACGCCTATAATCTACAAAACAGTTAGAAGGCTGAGGCTGTGTCCTGGTTTTTAAAACACAGCTATCAAAATGGCACATCACAACAAGGCTTTCCTTTTTTTAAAGTCAGGACAACTTTCACATAAAATTAAGCAGAATTGATATCAAAAAGGGACTTTAAAAAATTTTAAGATCAATGAACAAAGGGAAACCAGACACAAAATGTATGTAGCGTATGTAGTATGCAATGAAGCCCTAGTTACTTTCTCTTAAACAAAAGAAAAAGCAACATTGGGAAGATGTGGTTTTGGGAAGAAAACTGGTGTGTGTGTGTGTGTGTGTGTGTGTGTGTGTGTGTAGGGGGTGGGGTTAACCCTTCCCCAGGCAGGTCCCTCTGCTCATAATTGTTCCCCACTTGCTTCTTCTCCCTCGTGGGCTTCCATCTGCTTGTTTACCTTTAACAAATGCACATTTGAAATCCAGTGGATGAAAAAGCAGCTTGTATCAGTGGGCAATTTTGAACAGCAAAACAAGCCATGGGAAAAGGATTAAACATGATCAATATAAGGTGCAATCCTATCCCTGTTTAGAGAGAGAAAGTCACCTCTGTGACCACCTAGTTGAGACATTCTGCTTGTCCCATGAAAGTGCATGCAGCCAAAATGGTTTGCATGGAAAAGGGGACCTGTTAGTTAAAGCTGCCACTGCAGAGTTCGTGGTAGTGCCTAACCTGTAATACGGAACACACTGCAATAATGATTTTAAAGAGTCCTGAAATCCCACAGGGATAGCTAAGCAGCGACCAAGATGCCCTAGTCTGGGACTTACTTTGCATTCAGGGCATTTCTCCTTTATTTTTCGGGCAATGCCAGTGATGGTGCCCCCTGTGCCAGCTCCAGCCACAACCATGTCTACCTTACCTGTCCAAAAAAAAAAAAAAAAAAACCAACGTTGAAACAGTTTACAAGACACACATCAGAATGAATGGTTAGTGATATCGGTTTCCATCTTACTGAATGGTTCAAGATTGCTGCCTTGTGAATTAAGCAGAACTAAAATAGGGAAATAGTGTAATATGGATTTTTATATGCCACCTCCTCTCCATGTCACAAGATTGATACCTATCATTCTTACAGAAGCTAGATTCATGGATATCTTCATCTTGTTTTCATGGACTGATCAATGGATGGCTTCTCGGGGAGCCTTTTTGACCAAGGAATGGATGAATATAAACAGATGCATACGGTTAGGGGAGGCCATAGGAGTTTTTATCTGGAAAGCCATAGCATCCTTTGGAGTCCCAAGATCACAGGATCATAGAGGGACTCCAAAGGCAGAGTGTGGAAAGAACCATAATGAGAGGTGGGAAGGGCATGCTGGGAAGGAAGACAGGGATGAGGAGCTATGTCAGTTCCAATTGGCACCCAAGCCTGCCTGCCTCCCTCCCTGGGGTTAAATCTAGATGGCTAAAACCAGTCGCTCGAGAAAATGCAGGGCATACGGCAGGGGAGGGGTGGAAACCGATGCCTCCATGCCTCACTCCTGTCCCTGCATGCTCACCAGCCTCCAAGTTCAGAAGCTTATGTGCCAGAGGATCAGTCCCTTGGTTTCTTCATTGCCTGCTTCAAAGCCTGTACTTCACCAGCCTATGGGGCTTCATAAGGACTGCAAGCTTCCGCATACTAGATATAAGGTGCTGTGTACCAGACGTCCCACTCTTCCAATGCCTGAACATCACCCAAGCTGGCTTGTATCGATGACAACGTAGATCTGGCTCCCGTGCATATTCAGGTGGCAAAGAAAGCAAACTGAAAGCACCTCCCCCCCGCTCCCTGCCTTACATTCTGCCTGCTGCCCAGCTACTGAAGGCACAGGAAGCTAAACATCACCCTCTCCTACCTTTTCTTCGGTAGCTCTATGATCATTGCTTTATCTAAATTGCAATTCTGTATTACAAATACGTCATCAAACACGTTTCAAACAGAGGTACTAGCAACTTAAACCAGCATTCGAGATTTAGGCCATGATCTTTTGCCCAAGGATGAGTAAGGGTTACTTTTCCACCCAGCATATGCGAAAGAAAGAAGGTTGCCTTAAAAACACTGCTATGTGGGAGCACCCTCTGCTGGCTCCGAGGTAGCAAATAAAAATATAAAGCGGCTAATCGCCAAGTTCATGAGTGCTGAAGGCCCAACTTGTTAAACATTACCAAGAATACATGGCCCATGTTTGCTCTCCAAATCTCCCTGGTAATGGTTAAAGAAGAGCCTTTTCATAGCCTGCTGTTTGCAAGAAACTCTTTAGTGTGGGGGCATCACATCACACTCCTCCTTTAAGTAAACATTGCCAGGGTAATGCAGGAGAAGATGCAGTGGCAGCAGCCGAGTGCTCTTCGCAATGTGTCTTTCAGTTGCCAGATAGTGATCACTTGGAGAAAAGCAGATCTGAGTTGTCATTCGATAGCTAAAGAAGAGTGGCAGTGTATTTACTCAAATATCTAGCTTTCCCTGCTTTGACTCTTTAGGGCCTGTAAAGATAAATACAATCAAAATCCAAAATCAAGCTTTCCAAATGCAGATGGACATATATGCCTCTCACATATGTCTCTTTTCTCCAATGTATTGTGCATGGTGCAACTGCTAAGCTGTGATGTGTTAAAGCAACCCTCAGCCAGTGGCCAGAACAAACTTTTCTTGCCTGAATAAACTTGCCACAATACTGGAAAACACCTCATGCATCAAAAATCACTCTAGAATGCTATGGTACAAGCAGTGGACTGTTACAGCCACATCCTTTCAATCTTTCTCAGAATTGCCCATTTCTGCAAGCCCGCCAGATAAACAACATACCCTCACACTGTTGTAGGATTTCCTCGGCCGTTGTGTCATAGTGGGCCAGGGGATTGCTGGCATTACGGTACTGTGTGGGAAAAGGAAACGTATGAAGCAAATCAAACAAATATGCTTGCAAGTTTCTGCAGAGAGTCAGACTGACACACAGTGATGCTAATGTTATTCTGTCTTTGGTTTTCAGTGGCTATTTTTGTGGACTGTGCTGTCTACTTCTGGGGGCAGTATCAGATTGGCAAGACCAAAGGTGAAGGATTTTTCAGCAGTGGCCCTGCGCCTCTTGATTCAGCTTCCACAGGGGACTCAACAGTCCTCTTCTTTGCAGGTCTCTAGGGCTTCCTTGAAAATCTGCTGAGCTTGTTGGCTTTCCTTTGAACTGTATTTTTGAGCTACTGGCCTATTGTTACTTGTTGGCAGTCACTGCTTTTTACTCTTTTATGGTATCATCCCTTTTATTATTTATGCCACCTCAAGAGGGGCACTACCCTGAAATACGGCCTAAAATAATATAATATATACCCATTTTTGATCCTTTATTTGCATTACTTGTATGCCTTTTTTCTTTGTATTTTATTGCAGTTCGATTGAATTTTATTATGTTCTCCTGTATCTGTATTCTTGCCATGAGCTGCTTTGAGCACCATTTACTGGAAAGACAGGAGTGCAAATTAAATAATAATATAACTCCAAATTATGTTGTCACACATTATTTAGTAGAATATGAGGTATTTCTTTGCCATGGTACTATTATGATTTCAGCATCACTTAACCAGCGACCACTCCGAAGGCAGGTTTATCCAGATCATACAATATAACTTTTAGTATAAAAGAGCAGTTGCCAGATAGCTTCTCATGCATGCCAGTATTTGCTCCTTTCTAGGGATTAAGACATCACATGCAGAGTATAGTCCACAGGAAGTTATTGCTGGAATCAAAGGCACAAGTGAATCCCAGCTAACATGGCCGGAGGGTTCAGCTATCTTCCTATCAGCTAAAGGAACTGCACACAAAGAGTTGGGGGGCATCAGCTGACAGCAAACGTCAATCATGGGTTCGTATCCAAGTCAACCAAGCAAGCACTGCTTCCTCAGATTAAGTAGCTTTCACATTCACTTTCTTATGTAGAAATAAGAGGCCTTCAGAGAGTTTCTGGGAGGATGAACAAAAACACTACCTCATCTGGAACTCAGTCATCTCAAATCCTCTGTGGCAGGTACCTTACCTGATCCAATATGTGGGAGTTGGGGATTTCATTTTTCAGTCTCCATGCGACCCCAACATGAGATTCTGGAGAGTCAAATCTAGCAGTAGTTGGTGTCCTCACAATTTCAGCCCCAAGGGCACGCAGTACATCTACCTGATTTAAGAAATCAGCAAAATGTATCTCAGTACTTAGACAACTGGGAAATGAATGCTTGGCTGCAGCGCTTAGCTGCAGTACTGTGTACAACAGATATTATTCTGGATGAGCTATTTTAATCACAGTTAGAAAACTGAGTGCATGAGCTTCAGATGACAAGCTAACTTCGCTTTAAATGCACATGTCAAACATTTTGTTATCTTACTAATATAGCTAGTTAAATATGATTCCCTACTGCAGCCTTTTCCAACCTGGCAGCCTCCAGAAGTCTTGGACTTCAGTGTCCACCAGCCCCAGCCAAGCTGGCCAGTGGAGATTGTTGCCCAGAGCACCAGAGAGGACCGGCTTGAGGAAAGGTCCTCTCTGAATCAGCTGCACTGCTGGCTTGCAATACCCCCATGACCCATTGCACCAAGTGTGGTTCCTTTGGCATCTGCAGTGAGCAGCAGCTCTGACCTTCTCCATGCTCATTTTCTCTGGCATCACGATGATACAGCGGTAGCCTTTTACTGCAGCTGCCAGGGCCAGCCCAATTCCTGGAACCAAGAAAAATATTTCACTAAAAATACCCACATGCACAGAGGTTATCTTTCAAGACTCTTTACTTGGAACACCACAAGAAGCTGGGCAAGTCCTCTTTCTAGATTGTGCCTTCAACACAGCCTTCAGCAAGTAGACAATCAAATGTTATGGCTGGTATAAACCTAAAGAATCTTCCCAAGGAGATTCACCTGGCTCTTTCCTTGTATACTTTTTGGTGCCATGCAACAACCTTCTTTTTAAAAAAATATTTTAATAGCTAATGCCACATAACCTTCTGTTTTGTATTTTTGTCCGTATTTTATTGACACTGTATTTTAATATGTTGTAGTTGTCTTTACTGTGTTTTATCCTGTGATTGTGAGCCACCCAACTGCAGCACACAGCAATTGTGCTATGGCACAATTGGGTGGCATACAAATGCTTTAAATAAATAAATACTGATTCATTATAACTCAGCAGTGTCTACAGCAGCCTCCCCTAGTGTGGTACCCTTGGTCTACTACACCCAAGCATCAGTCCAGCTTGGATTTTTATATTTAATGGGGGTGGTTGTTGCCTTAGTTTTATAATGAGCATAATTGCCTGATTGTGAGTCACCTAGAGCTGCTATGGCACAATAGATGGCATACACAAGTTTTAAATAAATAGATAAACCAAAATATCCCCCCTTAGGTCTATACCAACTGTAACATTTCGTTGTCTACTCACTGAAGGCTATGTTGAAGCACAATTTAGAAAGAGGACTGGAAATTAGTCAAGGGTGGAAGCAACGGCAGGGGATAATGCCTAAAAAAAATAACTCCAGTCAGCAAATTATCTCTGACAGTGTTTCTCACTCAAGTTTTGTAAGCATAAAAAAGCTGCATCACTTGCGTTTGCAACACAGCCATTATTTTTATTATCCCACTCATTTCACTGGGGGAGAGTTAAGCACATACTTAACAGAATTTTACCATCAAGATGCTTTTGTTTTGGGAGGAAAAGTGAATGAGCTGTTCAGCAGTCGTGACCCAATTTCTATGCCCACTCCTCTGATTTCATCACTCAGTCTGCCCTCAATCCAAAACACCCATACCTGTATTTCCTGAAGTTGGCTCAATAATAGTATCTCCAGGTTTCAAGACCCCATCCCTTTCAGCATCTTCCACCATCCTTAAGCTGATTCGGTCTTTTACACTCCCTCCAGCATTAAAAAATTCACATTTTGCCACTAGAAACCAGAAAGACTACATTAAGCAAGAAAATTTCCAGTCAATCCAAAAAGAAAGAACTTCAGCTTTGAGTGAATGGATTGGGAACATCATTTAAAACTAGTAGTATTAAAAAAGGACTATCTGGCCCATTTTATCATATTCTAAACACAAAGAGGGAGAGGTAACCATATAAGAAAACTAAAGGCTTTTGATAGATCAGCTTTGAAGTCAGCTCAGGATCAGCCAAATACTGTCTTGTTTTGTTAAACTTGCAAGTTATTTTATAGACAAGTACTGGACTATGATAAAAATTTCTTCTTTTATTTCTTTACCTCAAACATGCACAAACTATTAAGGGACAAATGTGTCAAATTTGACCTTAAACACATTCTATTTTCCAAGGATATGCTGGTCCCAATTCGATTTCACACTGAATTGTGAATTCAGGGTTATTTAGTCTGCATTCTTAAAAATCTGCATTTTCTTCAAATTTACACTTTTTGTGCATACATTTGCAAATGTACATATTTCCCCATTAAATAAAGTGCACACATGTGTGGGTGCATACACATGCGTGCTTCATAATATATACTTTTGTTTTTGCAAAGTGCATCACAAACTTTGAAAATGGACAGATTTCAGCAGCAAGCTGGGTTCTGGTTCTTGTTTAGGTTTGGGAAATGTGGATTTGGTAAATCCACATTAAAAAGTGAACCAAACACAGGCCACCAACTATTCGGTGTTACACTCATAATTTCTGCAATTTCTTTAGCTCTCTTCCCCATGAATAAGGGACAGCTCAACCTTTTAAAATCTGGCTGGAAATACTCAGGCTGTAGGCTAGAGTCCACTGCCTGCCAGTTCCCAATCACTGCACTTAAGATGGGGCAAAGGTATGCAAAGCAACTGAACAGGTGGCTGCAGGGAAGTAAGCAAAAGGAAGAAAAGGAAGTAAATAAAAAGTAGTAAAAAACAGGTGCTAGCCAAACCTTGGCTGAATTGGCCCTTCTTAATCATAGGCCCTCCTTAGCAATAGTATGGATAGTTACTAAGCAAATGTATGCATTAACAGCACCAGCTAACTCCAAATTACTCACAGAGTTCACATTTAAGCCCAGATTGTTTTCCAATCTTGTTGATTCGCACCATGGGAGTGTCACCGATTTTCTTGAGGATGTCTGGCATAATATTTGGAACTTCTGATCTAAACCAGAAGATGGGGAAACAAATAACAGGGTATAAGTAACACTTCTTAATCCCCATACTTACTTACCACTATCCAAATAAAAACTGTAAAACTTCAAACTGAATTAGTGCTCTGGATAGTAAGTATAACATAACCCAAGCAGACCCTGCCTCAATGAATGGTTCGATTAAATGTTCACTCACGGTGTAACATGATGATGATGATGGGGTGACTCAGATGGAGGTTTTCCAAGCTCCCAAGTACACCTGCTTGGGGTGTCAGGTCTGATCCATTTCCTCTCCTTCTCAGGGCTGGTGCATGGCTCCTTCTCCAGGCCCCCATTGGTTATGCAACTGGCTGAGATGTGAGAGCAAGAGAGTGTATTCATTTCAGCCTCTGCAGGAAGTGATGGCATTATGTCCTGAGGGAGAAAAAAATATGAGAGAGAGAGAGACAGCAGGGGGGAGAGATCAATCTTAATCTGGATCCAAGTTTGTAAAAGATCATCCTTGGCTAAATGCAAAATCGCACATGTGTATTAGCAATCTCCCCACACATACACCCAAAACCAAACCAAACCCATTAACCTCTGCAAAAAAAGTTATTTACATTTTACTTGATATTTTCAAATTACCCAGCATTTTGAAAGCTAAGCGACAAAGAAGAACAATTTCAGCATTTGCAAGAATATTATACTTGCTTATTTAAAACAACATCACCATCATGCGGATGACTTGAAGGAATTATATCTAGCTGATGGTTATAGATACAAATAGGGAGAGTCTGCTAGATGGGATCTGTGTGCATTTACATGCAGGTGCACTCAAGGGATGCTTCCAGGTGTGGCTTTCAATTGGCAATGGTGCTACCTCACTGATGGACTTGTATGAGGCGCCTCCTATGTTCTCTCACTACTTCTACAGTTTTTCTTTCCACTATAAAAAACCAAAACAAAGCCAATATAGTTTTTAACAATGTAGTTTTTTAACTGGTAACACTAAGAACCCTCTTGTCTGGAGGCACTCCACGTGCATCTACCCTTCAGTTTATTTCACTTCTTCAAAACAAGGAGGAAAAGACTAAATACTTAAGAATTCTGGTACTCGGGTGTACCTTTAACAAGCTCCACTGCACAACATCTTTAAAAGGGCAAAATAAAGCCATGTAAGAGTCAGGATCCAGAAAAGTAAATAGGTAAGTAGGAACTGTTTGACCATGTGGGCTATTTCACAATTACATCCCAACATCCACACAATCATCAACCAGCCCACTTCTGGTAAAGGGGATCAAATGTACTGACAAGAAACACATAGATACCATTGTACAAAACAACCATGCACAAGAAAAACAATAATTCTGGGGATGAGGAAACAGCCTGAATCTTGACCATCAGGAGCAAGAACTTGTACATATATATATATTTTGGAACAATGAACAACAAAAGGGAACAACATCACTCCTGACGTGAACACCCGTCTGACTTACATACCCTACAAGCAAAATGTCTTCTGATCCTTGAATGAACGGTCCAGCCCATCAAGCCCAGTTAGAATTCTCCTCCTGCTCGCAGGGATGCTCTAAGGTCTCAGGCAGGGGCTTTGCCTTTGGCAGGTGGCTGCTCATTTGTAAACTGGAGATGCTGAAGTTGGATCCTGGGGTCTTCTGCATGAAAGCATGTGCTCTACTACGAAGCAATGGCCCCTCCAATCCTTACAACAGCTCCTGCTCATTCAAGTTATATGAAAAGCTCATATCAGGGACATGTCAGTGAAGGGGAAAGGAATTACACCGCCCGGGCTCTGTTCTTAATTCAAGATGAAGTCACCTGCCAAGCCATTTCCACACCTCTGTTGTGATCGCACAAACCCTAACATGGCCTAAAATGCAAAATTCAGCCACATCATTCTTTGATATGATTGCACTACAAGAAAATAGTTCTGATACTATTAAGATGGTGCAGACTGTTTTTCCAAAGGTTAAAAGATCCAGAGGGAAAAAATTGACAGGACAGAAGAGGTTTGCACAGCTTTATTAAGCAAAGTGGCAGCAAACCGAAGCGTGCAAGACTAAAAAATCAAGAACTAGAAATTCAGGTGTTGCCAGAATTACAGACAATGCTGCCCGTGGGAGGATCACTTGGTACATGAAATACTCTCTCAACAAAACACTCCAGGGAGCTGGCAAGCTTTCACAGCCTGACAGTGCATTTGTCCCCTGACACTGAGGGTATGGCATTTTCCATTCCTCCCGGCTCCTTCACACCCAGCTGTGCCAATTTGGAGGCAGCAACAGGAGACATACGGTTTGCCGCTCTTTTACCAAAGGATATTGGCAGAACCAAGTCTGAAAGTACACCTGGGCAATGTGGTTGCCGAGCAGCAACCTTAACACACATTCAAAGAAATTCAAGATTATTCCTCTGAATAATTTAAATGATGAGCCACTGAATACCTGCAGGCATATTTTTCAGTAAGAACACTGAACTGCTCAGAGACCTTCAGCTCTTGGTCAGTATCAAAACACAAAAAGCAAATAAATAAATGAACGAATTCCTGCCGCTGATGTTGCCAACACTTGTTTCAGTTATCAGGGTTTGCAGAGTTTGCAAAGAGGAAACATATTCCATCAGTTTCCCAGCAGAAGTTAGAGCTTAGAGGTCCTGATTCTTTCCTGAAGGGGCTGTTCGTACAGCTGACGGGTTCCAGAACAATCCCTTGAACAGCTGCTGAAGGAACTATCTGCATGTTCCATAGCAGGTACACAGGTTTCTTTTCCTGCCTTGTGCAGGTAGAAAGGGCTATAGCTGTAAACCAAAGGACACAGATGAAAGGAGCAGCTGAAAGAAGCAAAAAAGTCAGACCTGGAAATTAAGAAATGTTGTTGGGCCTCAGGCAAGCTCAGAATAGTTACTGGAAAATGCCAATAACAGGAATTTGCCAGAAGCCATTAGAACCCACTGTTCTAAACCACAACACAAAATATGCAGTGGTGTCACAGCAAAACTCAAATGCTGTAGATCGGGGATGGGGAACCTCCAGGCTGAGCCTGGCTAGCCAGGCCATCCCATTCAGTCCTTAAGGCCTTGCACAATGCCCATTTCCCAGCCTTCAGCCCCATTCCTTCATGAATGGAGAGGAGGCAGGAGCGCCTCTGCTACAGTCTGGAGAAGCATTTGTGGGGGCTGCAGCACCACCCGCTCCTCCCTCTCCCTCTCCTCTTCTCTGACTGGGGAAGTTGAAGGAGGAGCAAAGCTCTTCCTGGACTCAGCCAGTCCAAGCCAGCTTTGCTCCCTGCCCCATTCTGCAGCCAAAAGTAGCAATGCCTGTCAAGGTTGCTTGGAGGGGGTTACTGCTCTTAGTGACCCCCCAAGCAGCTGGCACCACTCCTTCTGCACCATCAGTAGCTGTGCAGAAGCAGTGATGCCAGTGGGGTCATTGAGAGAGGGAGAAGGCTTGGGTCTCCCTATGTGTTTCTCACTGGAGGGACGTCGTTTCCTTTCTGAGGCATTCTCCCTGTGAAGATGGGTGAATCAAGGGGATGTCCTATGGCTCCTCAACATTGTCTAAGAGACCACAGAAGTTTCTGGATTCCTGGCTCCTGCTTGAATTTCATTTCCCTATTCACCATTAATGAAGACATTTATAATAATACTACCAGAAAAAGGCTAGACAAAAGAAGCAGGGAAAAGTTTCTCGCCTGTTCTCTTCGGATATAAAGTTGCCAGATTTACTTTTCTAACTATGGTAAATGACCTTCATGCTTTCCATGGCATTGTTACAGGCAAAGCCTGAGAAGATGGAAATTGTAATTGTGTAAACTTCTTAGGTTTCAGTTTATAATTCTCAGAAACTTCATGCATAATTATTAACTTTATCAGTAATTAGATAATCCAGCTTAAAAACAACTCCAAAGTGCAATGATATTAAGATCACATTAACAAACAGTTTATTGGTGCTAAGCCAGAAGGCCTCCATGGTTACAAAACTGAATAAAACAAACCCAGTGCTGTTGAACATTTCTGTTGTGCTATTCTTTCTGTTGTGCTATTAAAGGTTATAAATATTTATAACCTTTAATCGTATCATAGCCTTCCCTATTTTTCATCTCCATTGACCAAGATGGCAGAAGGACAGGTTTCCATCCTGCAACTACCTTAGGTTTCTCACAGGACAAGAAGGGAGGATATAAATGCCAGCATCATGTCTCAGTATGCAAAAATGTTCTTTCCTCGCCTGTCTACCTTGAAAAAAATGACTTAAAAGCATCTGTGCGCAACATGCTGGTCAGTAGATAACATGCTTGCCTAATTCCCTGTAGGATATCTAGCAATTTTTTAAGCTTGAGGACATTCCATCAGAAAAGTGCACTCCGCCATAACATTATCATCTGCATTTCCATCATAAATTTCATAAACTGGGGTACCATTTATTAAATACCTTTTTATTTGACCAATATTTTAACATAAATTAATTTTAATTGTATTAGATTTATTTATTTGAAATAGATTAGTTTTATGCTCAGTTGTGGAATAGTTAATTTATTTTATTCAGAATTTGAAATAATGTTGTAAGCTGTCCAGAGATGACAGTGAAGGACGGCCTACAAATTTTCTAAATAAGTAAAATAAATATTATATAATGCCATTTATATAGTGTTTTGTAGAAGCTGATCATCTGCAGCATAAAGATGCAGGTAGATTTATCCCTAGAGCATCTAGATAAGCAAATGGCCATCTCAGAAAGAGCTCTGGATTCAAGGCTATTGCCAGAGATCACAGCTTGAACTGTTCTACTTGTTTTGCAGGAGGGTGACAGACTCAAACTTCAATTTGCTTTGACTTTTAATCCTGACAGTACACAGTGTCCCAGCTATTGTTCTGGGTAAGAATAAAAGAGATTACATCAGGCCCATGAGCAACGCATCTATGAACCATCAAGCAAAGAGAAATGCATCTGAAATTGGCACGCCAACACTGGCTGAAAACATTCTGTTGCTTGATATAAAGGAGAAAATGCCCTGCCATTCAAGGTACAGAATCTGACGGACCTGACTGTTGAATCCAATGGTATATTCAGGATTGGGTACTGGGGCATATGTCCAGGACCCTGCACACCCCAATAAGCAGGAGGGCCCTGAACAGAGCAGGACCAGGTAATCATCTTGTGAATATACATGTTGCCCTCTAGATGATAATAAGACCATGAAATCTACAGTCTAAAATTACTTCATTGCCTCCCTTGTGCCTTATGCTGATGATGGAAAACAGCATCCTCCACTATACCTGAGGGCAGGGCAGGGCAAGGCAGGTGGCACATGTGTAAGTCCGTCCTCGGACACCTCCTCACCTCCGGTATTCGCTGTGCAAGACGGCTGCCTCACTCTGCCTGCTGGTATGGCTCACCTACAGCTTCTGTGTTGGCGAACAGCTATGGCACTCCATTTCAGAGATCTGTTCAGGAGAATTTGCCCGGGCGGGCGGGCCGCTCAGCAGGAACAGCCTCTTCACATCTGCCCTCCCTGGCATAGATTTTAGTGAACAGCATTAATGGTGGAGCAAGTTCTGACAAGATCAAAACGATTAAGACAGGCAACTCGCTTGTTCAGCCGGAGTCTCGCACCTCTCAAAGCAACAGGACAGAAGAGGAATGGGATCCATTTGATCCCTGGATAGCGAGTGTTGGGTAGAGCTGCACCTGTTAGCTGCAACTGGGACACAATCTGAAGAAAGACAGGGACTCTTTGAGAGAAGGACAGCTACCCCACAGAGCAGGAATGGGAAACACACAGCCCCTAGTTTTCCTGTAGTTCCCACGCCTCTCCACCAGCTGCTACCAAAGAATTTGCCACTGTACTGATGGCAAAAGGAAAAAAACTGCAAATGTTATTTTTTAAAAGATATACAGGGAACACAATCTTATTTTAAAGAAGAACATCACGCTCCCCCCCCCCCCCACAGTAGTTGCTACTCCTGTGCTTCTGGAAGTTGCAATTGTTTCCACAGAGGCACAGCTGGCTTCTCACTGGTTGTGGCAGCAACAGAGCGCAATTAAGCTGGATTCCCATGGTAGCTTCTACCTGAACTACCATTGTACCATCTGCAATCGATAGCAGAAAGCATGGAATGTGAAATTAACTTTTCCCAACCCTGAGATTCTGTTTACCAGTCATGCCCTAAACCAATTTTCTTGATTTTGTTTCTTTGTGCTCAGCTGGACAATCTCATATGCCAGAGAAAACAGCCATTGTCCTCAGCTGCTGGTCAGAACACTAGAAATTACTCTGATCTCAGTTAAAATAATTCCCTTTTGGAAGGCAGATTTCTACAAGCTCATTTAAAAGGAAGCATTCCTTCTAGCCAGATGGTTACAGATATTATGCTAAACAGAAATATTAAAATTGTAATTTCAATTTGCCTTTATCTTATGCTTTGTAATTGTCTGTGTTTCCAGAATAAAAGTTTCTTTTTAAATCCATGCACATTCTGCTCTGAATTATTCAAAAATATCTTTTTAACCCCAGACTTACTTCTAATTTTAAGGAACTAGGGAATGCACACAGTCTTTCAGGAGTGGACTAGAGGAGTTCAGTACCCAGTGTTGGCTAAGGACAGATGCCAGGCCCAGCTGAATTTTGGTTCCACATTTCTACTGACCAGGGCTCAAAAACCTGTGGCTGTTTTTAACCAGTTTCCCACTTGACAAGATCTAAAGCCAAGTCTCAGTTTGTAACTGAGGAGAACCAGACTATACATTGCTTTAAGAAAGCCCAACTCTATTGATAAGATAGCAATGGACCGACCGTCAATACTCACGTTGCGCAACTGTGTAATTTGGCTCGATACAAAAGCTGTATTCCTGAATGCTCAGGTATAAGATGATGAATGAAGCACAGCAGAGACACACTGTGAGCCGTCTTCACTGCCACATCTCCATCCTCCTACCCCTGCACATCACATGCAGTTGCCTGCAAAGATAACCCCAACACAAGTGCCAACGGGGTAGAATGTGCTACCGGGGGCCCAGTGGCAGTGGATGCTCAGGGGAGTCGTCAGCATGGTGGTAACTGTGTAAGGGCAGCCTGCCCAGGGCCATCCAAAAGTGGAAGCCTGACTTGACAGTGATGTTGTGTCACTTTGTCAAACAATGTCAGTATTTGCGCTCCCGAGGTTCTGTTTGCTTTGCATTGCCAAACCTTTAAGAGCAGATGAGTTCTCGTGCCAGCAGG